GAAAACAATGGACACCTTTAAAATGAGTCAGCATCCTAAGCCACATCCTTGTGATTCACTGACACCAGTATTAGAGTCCAGTCATGTGAAGAATGAGTCTGCATAAAGTAACTGATCTTGGGTGCAACATAATCCTTTGAGGTGATCAGAGGTAAGAACACAGGATGTGCTGAAGCATTAGGAGAGGAGAGGGGTTTGCATTTCACATGGTTGTAGGTGGTCTGAAGACCTCCAGTCTACCTGGTGAGCTGCTTGAAGCAGTGTATACAGAAGCGATGGCCGCACTGAGCCTGGACAGGCTTCCTCAGGACCTGGAGACACTGCTGGCATTTGTATTTATTCTCCATAGGCACAGATAGCACGCTCAGGGGGATCCCTGGTAAAGAGCTGGGACAGTCCAGTGAGATTCTGGCCATCCTTCTCCATCAATCTGGTGCTATAACCTGTGAATAAATACCACACAAGACTATCCACTCAGCACTTCAATCACAATGTTTCTTTCACCTTTCCCCTAGCAGTTCCATAGCAGTAACGCCTAACTGAAAACTTCATATCAAACCAGTCATACCAGTGACAGTTGAGGTGTTGGCACATGGGGAAGTTATGTATTTAATGTGTAATGTACAGTAAGTAGAACCCAACCCCTAAAGCACAGAATTGTATAGCAGTGATATAATATGATATAAAACTCAAATATTATGTTGCCGAAGATGGCAACACTTTTCAATTTAACTGTCATTTCTTCATTTGACTGTACTTTTGTACAAGAAACCTGCACCTTTACAAAAAACACCTTTTATAAATGCCTGCTATGTGAATCTTTTTTTTTTTGTCACTGATAAGTTCATACTGAAAAATCCCATGTGGGAAAATGAGTGGGGAGTGTTTTCCCCCCATAAACCTGTAGATGTCATAAAGTAACACCTCACCTATAAATTAAAATTTTTTGTATCAGTCAAAATGCAACTGACCTTTGCACGGCAGCAAATGTTTACACCAACTACAGGTAAATGTTTTTGAGTTTCAACCTACATTTCAACTCATGTATTGTTTGGTTACAAACACACTGTCTACCCTGAACAAACCTACTAGGGAAATATATGGAAATGGTGTGCTACAGTACAAGGTCCAAATAGGTTACTCACTGTACTTTTGCTTATCACATGTTTAAAGGACTTTTTTCTGACATGGCTTAAAAGTTTATTTATAGTGAACTCATCCTTTAAGTCTATTTAAGTGCTCTTGGAGACAAAGGAAATCTCCCAAAACTTCTATGGAGGAAGTAATATCATAACTGGTTTCTGGATGAAACTTATAACAGAAATGAAACTAGGAAAATTAAAGGTTACTGTGACCCATTCATTTCAGCACAGCAACACTCTCAACACCAACACCCACAAACCAGCAGCCAACCCTTATATGTCAAATTGATCTTCACAGTATGACACACAAGACCAACATACTAAGAACTAGAGCATATGCTTATCATGGGACTTAAAATCTCCCAAGTTATAATATGATCAACAATGCATCAGTAGCCATTAACTGTAGCCATTCAAGCTACAAACAATAAAATATTTCAAGTGACATTCACATACTCTGGATATTTTCTATTTCATTAAGCAAAACTGTGCTACAATAATGTTACTGGTTAAATGCCTACTTTTAAGATGAGAAAGCATTTTAAATATGTTTGAAACATATTTTGGAAAACTCTTAGCTATTCCTGACATTTTATCCTTTCTGACAATACTGTTGCTGAATCATTTTTGAGTTAGTGGCAATTTTAAGTGTACATTAACATATTATATTAAGTATTTTAATACTGCGTTGAATATGTTTCCACATTTTAAACTTCAGTCCCATTATATGGAGAGCAAAACAGCAATACTGGCTTACTTTTTTTAATGACAAGAAACATTTTACATTTCTTTTCTGAGAAAACACCCACGGCTTCACGGCTTCCCTTCACTGGAAGCTATATTCCTGGTATTTTATCTCAAGATAAGACAGCACTGTGTTCACATTACACACTGACTAATATTTCCTAACTCATGTACCATTCAGTGAGTGAGGCAATACTGTTTTTATTTCATTCACTTTCCAAGTTTCATTTGTTCAGACCTGCCCAATAAAGGGTGCATTTAACCCTGCTGAGTCGCATGAAAAACAGCTCTGTGGTAAACTATCCCCCAGCTGTTGTTTACTTTATGTATCCATAGAAACCCAAAGAGGGTAGTAATTAAAAATACACTGAAATCAATCATTAAATCAGGCGATCTCACTTAGAAACCATAGGCTGAATGTCCCATACACAACATTTTTCTATCCTAAAGAGACACGTATCAGAACCTTTGTACACTGTGGTTGAGCATACCAGAAACAAGAAGTGAAATAACATGCACTAAGGACAACATGTTCAGCTTACTAAGGACAACAACTAAACTTTGCAGACTGACCTGTAATGGAAAACTCTGTCTTTTTTTTATTATTAACTTTATCTATATAGTTATCTGGATTGTAAATTACAGCTGTGAAAAGTAAAAAAAACAAAACACACCAATATTTACATTCTCCATCAAAACAATGACCTGAAAAAGTAGAAGACATATGTCTCTTCAGGATCCATAGTCATTATATTTGTGTCTGAAATGTCCTGACTGCTTCTTAAATCTAGTACAAAACAGTCCAAAAAAACTCCTTGTATGTGCTCGCCCTTGAGGTCCGCCATGTTTCTGCTTAATGTCTTTTTTTCTCCGAACAAGGCTGCTTTTAAGACTCACTGAAAGTCTCTCTCTGAGGCACTGTACTGAAACCAAACTTATAATGTCTTTTTTTCTCCGAACAAGACTGCTTTTAAGACTCACTGAAAGTCTGTTTCTGAGGCACTGTACTGAAACCAAACTTGAATATGTACTCACCGATTTGCAGAGTGCCAGTTGGACTTTTGTGCTACACCACCCTTACGCGTATATATGTGAGGTGTAACACGTCAGCGGCACATCGTGTATATATATAACCACCAGGATGCGTTGTTTATCATCAGTTTAGCCAAGCTAACAGCTGAGACAACATATTGGTAGTTACTCCGCGCTTACATGCAACCGAATGACTTTAATTTTTACGTGTATTTATGTTTTTTCATGAAGCAATGGTATAACCTCAGTATTTAACTTAACGTTATGTTACACTTTTGCATACTTACACTTTCCGTTTGTATGCGTATTTCCTAGCTAGGTTACGCAACTTAATGCAGCTAGGTTAATGTTAGTTAAGTTTGGCATTGTGACTGTTGGTATGGTTTTGCGAATTAACTACTCAATTAACGATGACTAATTGCTAACCTACTCCTTTGACAAGAAGTACGCCAGCTTAGCTAGCTAACCTTAGCGTCGTGATTGTGTTTCTTCCAACAGAGAAACCGAACCAGTTCACCCACTACCGCATGGAAAGGGCAGCTCAACCTTTAGTAGGCTCTGGGTTCACCCACTACCAGGGCAGCTCAACCTTTAGTAGGCTCTGTTTACAGTATTGTTCTTCTTCTTCTTCTGTAGTTTATTGGCGGTTTGCATGCCAGCTTAAGGTGCATTGCCGCCACCTTAAAAGTTAGTTTTTGCATGCGCTTACCTTTTAAAGTCAAGACTGCTTGGGAAAACGGAGTCAGTAAATCTCTAAATTCTACAGTGTAAAGGGCTGCCACGGTATACAAAGCTAGTGTACGTCCATCCGCTGACGCATGTGTATTAGTGCTCACAATGTGGCCGCGAGTCGGGCAGCAGTTCCTGTGGTTGAATCAGCGATACTGCAGTTTGATTACCAAAGGTACGACTTTTGATATGACTACTCCGTTATTCGAAGAAGCGAAAAGTTACCACAGCTTTTTCATAAATCTAGAAAGTTAACTGTTAATGTAAAAGTCAACGAATTTAAAAGCATAGTTGCTAGCATAACGTACCATAGAGAAGAGCAAGCGGGATACATGTAAATATCATCATGATGTCCTGCATCGTTATTAATACGCTGTTGGGTTGTTATTTAGGTGTTTTATATGAGGACAAAATCAAATATTTATTATATTTATGTATTATTACATTGTCTCAGTCCAATCTTGTAAATACCTCTAACGTTGCTTCACCTTTGTCCTACCAGTGTGTGTCAAGCAGCTGCATAGTAGCAGCAGCGTGTTTACATACAGCTGTTATGATGGGCTGTATCCTGGACACATTGCTACCACCCCCATCCAGAAAGCACTGCTGGCTGTTGGGTCAGGTGTGGCTGCACTACAGAACCCTTACAGACATGGTGAGACTCTCACATCATCAGCATTGAGGTCCGGATAGTTTTTATTTTACTTTATCTCCCTCCCTTTTTATTAAAAATGCCTTCTCACTACGTGTCCGAGGGTCTCTTTTATGTTATGGCCTTATTCAACAAAATAAAGAAAAGATCATCTTAAATTGGGACAAAAAAAAACTTCCTATTAACAGAAAGGTATGACAGTAAAGCCCAGTCACAGACAACATGTAGTCCTGTGATGGTGGTGCAACAGAAAATCTGTAATGTTCCAAACTTTGGAAATTCATTTGGAGGTAAGTACATCATTCTAAAGCAGTAAAACTTAATTAAACTTCTTGTATAGTTTGTTCACATTTAAAAAAAACCTTAATTCAATATCCACTTGTTTTTTTTTCCTGTGCTATCAGCCTTAGCAGAGTGAATTTAAGCCAAGTATGTACCTTGTTATAATAACTTTAATGTGTTTTTAAAATCAAGAATGAACCTTTAATATCAACAAAATAGCTGTAAAACCTTTTCAGACCTTCTGTTACATACATGCTTGGAAACTGATAATTATAATTGCATTTTTTGCCTTTATAACAAAATTATGATACAGGAACCTTTTTGTATTTAGATACAGTTTAAATTAATAAAATAGGGCAGGATATGTACTGTAAGAATGTAGAACAACAAAGGAACAATCTTGCAATGTTGCTCCTTCATGACAAAAAGGATATTGATCAAATCTATGTCAGTGAATCTGATTAATGCTGTATGTTGGCAAGCTTGTTTCCGTGGCCTGCCCCCAACAGTTCATAGGAACTTGAAAGATTGTATCATCCTGTGAGAAAAGTTCTTTTCTCACATACTGTTCAAGTAGAATTACTCACTCAAACTTTTATTCTCTGGAGGCCATTGTTACAGGCTTCAAAAATGTCTTGGAACCAGAAATGAGAATAAATACAAATAAAGGGTATACTATGTGTTGGTTGCCCTGAAACCTTCATGGAGGAAGAGAGAGCGAACACCTGCCATCTGGCATTTAGTTTAGAGAATGCAGGTGTTCTTAAAGGACCACTCCTGACTCCTAGTGTTAGGTATTGGTTGATCTTGGTAAATGCATGATTCTACATTTACAGTATAATGACTTTTTTATTAGACCTTTCCTGCCTGTTAACCATCAATGTCTTTCCAACTCCACAGTACCAGTTTATAATGCAGGCTTTGTGTTAGATAATGTGTTGCTTCCTAAACCGAGCCGATTTAAATCTCATGACATGACCAAACTTGATTTTCAGACATTTTCTCAGACTTGAAAAAAAACCCACAGAAAACACTGAACAGCTGTTGTCACAGGCTGAGTGGTACTCCCCATAGTGAGTAAACTGATGAGAAATGGTGGCATGTTCCTAAATTCAAGATACTGTATATTTAACCTGTACAACACAAGTCTGAGAATCATTAAGACAAAATAAGCTATTTTGAGAAAACCTGTTTGTAGGTTTAGATTTCAACAATTTTCTCTTTACTGGGCATTTAATTCCACATGTGCAATTTACAGACATGGTTGCAGTGCTTGGAGAAACGACGGGACACCCAGCGCTAATAAATCTCAGGGATAGGATGAGGAATGATCCTGAAGGCTACACTGTCCTAATGTGAGGCACTGTAATGTTATTTAGTAACCTTCTGCTTTAGGTGCTTTTAAATAGCATTTCCTCTACTGTGAATGAATTGTTGTCTTGCTTGTTACTGTGTTTATTACAGAGAAAGGCCCAAGATAAGACTGTCTACACTTGATCTGACCAAGCTGGCGTCACTGCCAGATGGCTCTTTTGGGAGAGAATACCTCCGTTTTCTGGAGGACAATGTCAGTGTTTGCTGATGTGTTGTTAAAAAAAAAAGTTGTTTTACATTTCTTAACATTGATTTCATCAGGTTAAAAAAATATCTGCTCAGGATTCCTACCACCTATGTTTGTCCTTCTTCTTCATGTATGCATTTACTTTCCTTTTCTGTAATTTTTTTCCTCAGCGTGTGACCCCTGATTCAAGGGTAGACGTGAAGTTTGTGGACAATGAGGAGCTAGCTTACGTTATGCAGAGATATAGAGAGGTTCATGATTTGCTGCACACCTTACTGGGCATGCCCACTAACATGTTGGGTGAGTCAGGCTTCACATATTCTGAGGATGCTACCCACAAATATGGCATCTACAAAGTAAGACTGTTATGTAGGAACAACCAAGCCAAACATTTTTAACCTGTATTGTTGATAATATGGCTCAGCAAGAGCTGTGTATGTGGCAGACAAGCATGCCAGTTGCAGGGCACAGCTGGAGCCACACATTTGATGGCTGAGAGAACACTTAAATTCTAACTAGAGTTACTGTATTTGTGTCTCCTGCTTTTCAAAGCCAGTTCCTACACAATGTTGGTGTGAACTTTTCTGTTTTGCTGGTGGCATACTAGTGTGTTCATTACAATAATCCATCTGAAAGAGAAAGAACAATTCATACACTGGTTTCACTGTAGGACTTGGTTTTGTCATACTGTGCTGAAACACTAGTTCTTTATTCTCCTTTCGTCTTTAGTCATCTACATATTTGTTTCAGTTTTTGTGTCATCCTAATGCTTTCAGGTGAAGTGGCAGTAAAATGGTTTGAAGCAGCCCAGACGGGGCTCCCCATGTGCGTTCTTGCAGCTATGTTGGGGCCAGTTCGGCTGAATGCAAGGTACAATACACATGGTTTTATCATGAACCTTCAAGACATTTAGTAATATGTATGCAGTATGATCAGATAGTTGGTCATTCACTTAGTAGTTTCAGTTCTACTTTGGCCCCTTTATGTCTGGAGTTTGTCCTTTTAGGGTGCGTAGGCCTACAAACTGCCATCTTTCATGCAAAGTAATATATGAGCAATAAAAAACATTCCTCCAACTGTGTCAACAGATTGTTGCAGGCATATTGTAAACTTCAGTACATATTTATTGTCCAGCTCCAGTGTGGTGATTCTGTGATATCCAGCATTTGTGCATAATGAAGGATCTGCACCCAATCATAGTCAGTGAGGATAAAGATGTATCTATTGTCAGCCATAGTAAAACCAGTAGAAGCTGTGTGTGAATGAGTGACTACAAACAGCAGTTTATGACCACTGCCCCCTTTAAGTTTCAGCTTTATTGTTCTGATGAACAAATGCCGATAAACTTTTTTTTTTTTTTTACCTGTAAATGATTAACTCCTCCTCATTCTGTAACTGTTAACTGTTCCCTGTGTTTTTGGGAAGTAGGCTGTGGCTCTATTAGAAACAAAACCGATTAATCGTGGCAGTTTTCCTTTTCGTTGTTGTATCATTCTGGAATTTCCCTCTATTGTAGCCGTTTGCAGACACTGTTCACTTCCTTGGGGCTTTGGGCTCTGCAGAACGGCTGGCGTGCCCGCTGCGTCCTCTCTATCTTCTATGAAAGGCGATGGGAGCAAAGCCTGGCAGACCTCCGTGAAGAGCTCAACATTGAGCCACCTCCTCTAATACTCAGTGCGTTGAATAAGAGGAAGATCTGAGAAGGAGCTGACTATGATTAATGGTTCAGGAAGCACGGCAGAAAGACTTTTAATAATGGACAAACCAGAAACATTTGACATGTGATATGTGGAATTTTTGAGCCACTTAGGAAATGGAAAAGTTTCCAACTTAACAAACTTTGACTTGTCCCTCTTTACAGCCCAAGTGTATTTGCGTTGATGTCAAGTCACCTTTTACTTTCAAATGTGAATCATTTAGAGTGCTGTTATTTCAGCTGATGAAGTTTTGGTGCTGTTTGGAAGCTGATAAATAAGAGGTTCAACATGTTATGTTGAAAATATGTTTTTGTTTTAAGGAAAAAAATTTTAAAAAAGCATAATATCGGTTGTACTGGTGTTCTTAGTTTTCAAAAGTAATAATTATATTAGCCCACTATTTCTTATATTTATACCAATACTGAGCCAGATATTAAATGGGTGCATTTGTGACCACTTGTCTTATTTAATAGAGCTGTCAAATTATTAAGAAACAGTACAATGCACCTGTATTTATACGAACACTAATGGGTGTGAAAGGAGTACGTTGGAGCTCAAACACACAATCATAACATTGCAGCTGCTGTGTTATCTTTTGACTGTGTTATACTGTGAATACATTGTCTCTTTTTTGTAAATTGTGTGTACACTGGTTTGATTAGGAGTTCAACACATGTCACAAGTGTCATAAAATAAAATATTTTGAGGTAATTTTCTTTCAGCGTTGATGGTTAATGCCACAGCTCAGAAAACATGAAGAGAACAACTTGTTTGCTGAGCCTTTGCATTAAATGTTTTGTGTCACCATGTTGTGCTTTGGACACATAAAATAAACAAAATTATATGTTTCATTTCAAATAAAGGAGTGAGAACCCTGTTGCTAATGCCTGCAGCATTGTATTGTTGGCCATGACATTTATCAGTTTCTTGGCAACTCATAGTATTTGGTTTTACATCAGCCTGTGTTGAAATAACAAGGGCAGCATAAGTGAACTGTTATGGTACCCTGACATTGTTGCACTACCATGACTATTATATGGTGTAACTGACATTGTTACACCACAGAGTAGTGATTGCTACATCCTAGGATATCCGCTCCCTAAATCTTGAGCTGTGTTTTCAGTGGGATTTCATCCTCTTAAAGATTACATTACGCCTGGAACATTGAGTTCTGTAGAGCTGCAGTGTACTTACATGGTCAGTGCTACATCAATACCTTATTTAAATATGAAATAACACTGGTCGTGCATCAGTGAAGTCACTATTTGATTGGTATTTTTTTTAACTTCCCCTCAGTTTTGTCTCACTGTCTACTACACTCGTTCTGTATTGTTTGTTAATGTGGTGTTCCGGAGCATGCCACTGTTCTTACTAGTTGTGTGTTGCTTATATTGTTAGCTCACTAACCCAAACCCATGTCTAAAATAAAGTATTAGTGTATGCAATCTCTGTGTTTTACTGATGTTACAGCTAAATGTTAAATGGTGTTACAACATTGGTTTTCAACCAGTGGTCCATGGCCCACTGGTGGTCTGCAAAGGAATTGCAAGTAGGCCACGGCCATGCATTCAATAATATAGTTTCACTGTAGGAATCATCTTTTTTATTTTATTTTTAAACACATTTCCATGTATTATTCATTGTTTGTGAATAATCATATCCATGTAAATATATACAATTTAGCCCAGGTGTCCATCCAGTCTATCCAATCTACAACACTGGTCCTCAGGTTACGTCAGGTTTGAATGGTGGTCCCTGGGTCACAATAAGATGAAAGTCCCTGTATTACAAGTATATGATGGAGTTATTTAAATCCAGGCTCATGACAATAAGAGGCACCATATGTGTGTTTGGTTTATGGGTTTGCTGAGTGTTTGTTCTGTTGTAGTTGGTACTTGTTGCTGTCTGTGGCCACCAACAGCACATTGTTACAAGTATCACTCATGAGATGGTTGTGCAGTCTTAATTTGACGTTGCTGCCCTCTACTGGTTTTCTGTGTGAACTCTTCATAATTATCTGAGGGTTTCTCTTTTGTGATTAATTTTATGGCTTGGATTCTTAGATTGGCTCTTTGTCGGATTTAGCCTCAAGACACTACTTTTTTTTTAAAAGAAAGTATCAATACTCTGTTTTTCAGGAACACCCTGTTCACTTTCACTCATTCACATCTGGAAGCTGGCCAGTCCCGCCTTGTTCATTGTTGCCCACCGGAGCAGTTAGTTGGGTGTAAAGAGTCTTTCTCAGGGTAATGAAGTTAATGAGGGAAGGTAAGTTTCACAGTCACTGCACAGATTTATCCTGCTGGTCTGAACCAGCAACCTTTCCAAAAATAGGAATCTTCAAACTCAAACCAAAGTTTAACACAAAACTCTTGAGAAAAATTAGTAAGCATTTTTTAGTTATGTCTGTTCTGTTAACATGTGTGTTAACATTTGCAGAGTGTCCTACAGGCCAACTGGGACTGTAATGTATCACTGTACTGTAATGTTCATTAGTGTGTCCCACTATGCTGCTGGTGTGTAAAAGGGGAAAAAATCAAGATATTTCACTCATTCAAAAATATTATAGCAAGATAAAATTATATGATAACTCTCCAGTGCAGAGTCAGAAAATAAAACATGCAATAATCAGTTTACTGAACATAAGACACAAAAAAATCATGATAATACAAAATTATCTCAGAGTATTTCTGTACTGGGTTTTTTGTCCCATGTCATCTAATACTGGATCAACCAGTAGTTAATATTTTCTACAAAATTCTGAGAAGCTTCTTTACACAGATTAAACTGATTATACAAACAATCAGTACAAACTGCAAACTTCATAAAAATGCAATCAGTGTCAGTCAAAATGGCAAAATATCAACAAATAATGACATTCAAACTTATGAACTCATTCAAAACAGTCAAAAGTTCGTTTGAAGCTACCAGAGCAAATATTAAATAGAAACAGAATAATCAAAACTGATCCCATATCTAAGGTTTTCATTATTGCACAAATGAAAGCTTTTAAACTGCTGATCATGTTTACATTAAAGAAAGTCTTCACATGTTTAGGTTCTTTCATTTTCTGGCTGTGCGGGTGGTGTGTCAGTGCAGTATGGTGATGCTGCGATCAGTCACCGCACATGCCGGCAGCAGGGGGGCACTGAAATGTTGTGTGACTGAGTACAGCACGGCTTTGGAGTCTGGATCGTAAAACAGGAGTGTCTGACTGGGCCAGTCCAGCAGCAGGCCGATCCTCTGGGGTTGCCTCACCACCTGCAGGGGCACCTTCTTCTCTGCGTGGCAGAAGGAGTATTCCCCGTCGTAGCGAGACAGCACCCAGGACTGACTGTTGTAGCCCAGTCGGGCCTCGTTCCCAGAGCCTTTGCGCTTCAGAGAGGCGTAGCACACTCCGACCTTAAAGGCACCACTCTGGCCTATATCTAGCACCCAGCTGTGGGTTCCAGAGGACATAGACAATGAGCCCAGTGCATTGGGCCAAGAGTCAAACCTGGCTGGGTTGTAAGGAGGGGACTGGCGGGCTTTTCTGGGGAGGAAGGTCAACGTGCAGAAGTCATCAGACAGTGAAAGGAGAGGGCTCACTGTGTGCTCATCAAACTTTAAATGAGATGACCCATAAGCTGTAGAAAGAAGAAAAAGAAGAAGAGTGTCACAAGTTGCTGCATTATTATAAGCAGAAATGGTGTTTTGAGGTCACAATTCTCTCCCCACCACATACAGGGATGTGCAGAGTCAGCCTCTGAGTGTGTAGTCTCAACAAAACACTTCCTGCTACTTTGACCAAGCTTGTCTACCATCTGGATTTCCAGGCGAGACCCTTGATTTTTTTGCCATTGTCCTGTAGTTCTCCATTATTCATTTAAACAGAAACACAAAAACATCCAGGTCCTACACTGTGCCGTTGCACATTTTGCTAACAATACTTGCTGAGCTGAAAAGACAGCTTGGCCGTTCTCTTTGAACTGTTCTCTTGCAAAATGGGATCTACTTTGATACTGTCAGAAAGTGAATTTACAAAATAAGCACTCCTCTGCACTTATTGCTTTTGATTTGATTTTCTGCATTCTCAAAGTTGGTAAGGGGTTGTTGTCATCACCCATTTAAAACTATTTTCTCCTGGTGGATCTGTTGTGTTTGCATAAAGCTCTAGGGTGATTTACAACTGAATAAAAACCTACTAACCACGTGGGCCGAGCAGCACTGCAGTAGCCCACAGACCTCTCAGCAGTTTGCTGTCGCTGCAGCCTGGGTTCAGGTTGAGCTGGTCTGTGTCACAGGGCTCCCCAACCCCATCTGCCTCCTCCACCCTGACACAAGCACACACAAAGCATAACGGAAAGAGGAGATTGTATCTCTCTGGAATGTGCTGAACAAGAACATTTTCACAAGCATGTCATGTGGTAAAAAGGTTACCTTTCAGCTATGTCCTGGACACGAGTCTGAAAGACAAAACAGGAAACAACTGATCACTCTTCTAGGTATTAACATAGTTCAGTGATATCTAATCATGATGCTGTTATTTGAGCACAAGTTCCTCTATTATGCTGAAATCTTCCCACAGACATCCCCAGTCATCCCTGAGCTCTCCTGTCCTGCTACAGGTATCCCAGTCTCTCACCACCAGCTGTGCATCTGGAGTGTGTGTGAGCGTGTGCACCAAACGGGAGCGTGTTTGCGACAGATTCGTCAAAGCCTGGCTCCAGTGGGCTCTCTGCGTGAGGAGACACTGTTCCACCCGCTCCTCCTCTCTCTGCACCTCCTCCAAGAGACGCTGCTCCTCCTCCTCTAAGGCTTCACGTGCTGCGCTGACCTGAGCCAGCACCTGCTCCCTCGCCCTGCTTGCCGCTGCCTGAACAGTTAGGAGGGGAGAGGAATACAACTTGTGTTGAGGAAGGAGGACTCCCTTGGATTCGAACACAACTGCATAATCACAGAATACTTTATCATTATGCCTATAGTCAACAAGTTAATCGTGACCTTCTAAAGCCCATGAACCCATGAGATGTGAAGTTTATGATCAGATATAGTTTCAAATCTGGCACTAAAAAACATTTTTGTGATAACATCATTGTTTTAAAATTGACTTAATCAATTATTCAATCAACACAATAGTAGTCAGTTAATTCCATGTCAATCAACTAATCACAGGCCTTTTTCACTGAAGATGTTTTTAAATGTGGGAAAACTGCAGGTATAAATAATAAAATGAATAATTATCATTATTATCATTATGTCTCATTATCCCAGTGACTTACTGGGACACATTGTTAAGGTTATTGGTAAAGCCTGTGCTTTCCCTGCTATGACCAGCTAAAGTCTCTGCTGTGAAAATGCTTCCTTTAGCACAAATCCAAAGAAATAAAAACTTGGCTAGGTATTGTAGGGAGCTCACATGAAAGCCTTTGACTACATACCGTATAAGAAGTTTTATCCTTATTGGCTCCTGCGCTTCATTACTTCACTTCACTAAATAATCATAGGTTCAGTTTTAATGGAGAGCCTGTAATTAGCTTCTCTCTATAGGGAATAAAACACAGTGGCTCTTTAAGTACAATGGTCAGAGGTCTTAAATGACACTTTTGTGATTCTGACAGCCATCATCTGACCAGAGGCAAACACATGACGTGTCTCAGAGATTCACTGAGAAGACTCTTGACCAGTGGCAAGTAAGTTTGTTTTGTATTTTTATAGAAATGTTTGTTAGTTTGGTGAGTTGTTTCTTGCTTAAGGTAGCATTTATTTACCTTCTACAATGCCTTCATTGTTTGGTTGAGGCCTGATTTGCTCTGTTACCCAGAAAACTACACATGCACGACAAGTACCACTTACCACTGTATAACTACTATGTTAAGTGGGGTTAATATATAAGGGTGCAGTGAAAGAGGAGCTTTTCTGCAACAATATCTTTGCTGCATGGTGGTGACTAATTGACTGAATCAGCAAAAGCAATCTTTAAGGTATACTTGACTAGTGAACACGCATTTTTCTCTTTTACTCATGCATTCAGTGGCAAGGTACCTCATCATAAGAAATATACTGTATATTTCTTATTTGTTCGAGGAAATGAAATGTGGAAAAGACATAGTACTTCAGCTACCGCCCTCCTTGTTGATATTACATTAACTGTTTCACAGGTAAAGTAGTGCTGAGATAGTTAATGTAATAAATGAGTAGTTTATAAATGTATCTATCATGCTAAAGTGTCAATTATTCACGGATTCCAGGTTCTGCAGTGTTTGCGTTTTGCTCTATTTTTCTGCTTTGTAACACCCTAAACAAGATAAATGTAAGGTTTAGAACACCTGGTGAGGAAACAAGCAAGACTTGTTATATGGCTTAGTATCCACATACTGTACCTGCACATGTCAGCAAAACACATTTGGGTTATCACATGACTTTCTTATAAAAGGCAAGACAGCCAGTGTCAAAAAAATGCACTTGTGAAACTGATGAATGTGCATCAAGTGTGGCAGGGTGTCTATGTGATGACTAAGTGTTGAGTGGGTGGACAACAGAAGTATTTCTCACCTGAAGCTTTTGGTCTTTGGCTGTTAAGGTCTGGTTAATAAATCTTTCTATTCTCAATGCCTGCAGCTGCATTTTCTCACAGACATCCACCAACTGGTTCTAGTGAAAAAGCACACACACACACACACACATACAAACACTGCAGTTTCTAGGGACCTATGCATCACACCTGAATATCGTCAGCCGGAGACACAAGAAAATCCTGTTTATTCAAATACCAGGCAGAGGAATCAGCGAGGAAAAACACACTAAATGCGACACACCCAAGAAAAACTGATGTACACACATGCTGTGCGCTCACATCTGTGAACAGGACTTCCACAACACGTGGCTTCGTAACACCTGCCATCCTCAACACAGTAAATGGCAGAAATGCAACAATCCACCTTTCTCACATTTAGCTTGTATCTGCCCCAAACAACAAATCTATAAGAGTGTAAAACTATCTTCTCAATCAGATAAAATAAAACAAGTAAAACCTGTCAAATAATAAATTGCAAGGCAAATAAATGTAGTAAATTTAAACTTAGAAGGCAACCCTACTCACATAAAGTGAAAGTAAACGTCCTGGGCTATTTTACCTCTAAAGATATCCTCAGTAAAAAGGAAACTGAAAACCACAAATATACTACAGAGAGTTAATTAGGCTACATTAAAATGAAGCAAACAGCGGATGGATATAGGATGATCATACTCACCCTAACTGCGGTAACTCTGGTGGCCAGGGGGGTTACAGTGTGTCCGTGGCAGGAGCCAACGGTGGCGCACTGAGAGCAGATGAGTTTCTGCTCGGTGTCACAGAACCAGTCCAGCTCAGACTCATGCACCGAACAGAGCTCACATTCACTAGAAAAGATCCCGGACTCGGTGTCGGGGGTGGACGCGGTCGGTGAGGTCGCTCTGCCGCCGCCACAGAAGCTCGAGACCGCGGTGTCCGCCGCCCGTCTCACACCGCCGCCGCTTAACACAGACAGAATAGGCTGCTCACCGTTCACCCCATTGCTTTTCATGGTACCTAAAGTGTCCTCGGGGTCACCCGACGAAGACGGGCATATTAAATCGCAAGTTATGAGCTCCTCGGTCATGGCACAATAAAGGCAAGGCAATAACGCGACAGGTGCACCGGCTGAGCAGGACTCGTACCTATACGCTGCTGTCGCCTTCAGCGTTGTAACACAGGTGTAACAGGTGAGCGGAACACGGAAGTAACACGGACATCACAGGTCAGAGTATAAAAAAAGGGGGGGGAAGGGGAGGGGGTCTGCTCTGTTGGTTTTCAGTTGTTTGATCTGGGCGTCAGCTGATAACCGCCTTTTTAAACCTTTTCCAGGGTGGATAGCTGTGATACTCTGTTTCATCATATGAGAGTGCTCAAAGGATTTGAGGCGCAGCCACACCTCTGAGACAGGTCTGGTTAGCAGAGACCAACACACCCCCTGGAAAGCGTTTTGCGTTTTTATTGTTATTAAAAATGGCAGAAATCATAATAGACACATTTTGGGCTGTTTTAAATGGGAGTAAGAAATTTATTAACGTACGTTTAACCCCTTTCTCTGAAAGACTCTTTTCAAATCCTATTATTTTCCCCTCATTGGAGTCAAATGAACTAAAATGGTGAGAAGCTAATAAACAATTGCTGGTATTTTGTTTTCTTGATAATATTGTTTTGTTGGACTAAAACGAGAGACAAGATTTTGATCTGACAAACACAATGTAAGGGTCTAATAATGGCAGATTGTGGTCAACTATTTTTGTTTCTAAAATTCAAAATGATTTTTCTTAAGTTCTTCTTAGACACAACTTCTGAACTGACAAACAAAACCATCTTATAAACCGATATTTAAGTGAAATATACGGATGATTTCTTTAATACAACTCTTGATCTCCAGAGGGTGCTCAGTCACTTGAACAGAAGTATTAAGCCAATTTCATCACTGAGCAAATGTACTGTGATTGCAGCTCAAGATGCATGTGACCACATGACACAAGTCAGGTCCTAAAGATGATTTAGATTATTGAATGCACACAAGGTGCAACTTTATATACATTTCAGAGGCAGATATTGTACTTTTCTGACATCTGTAGATCCTTTTCAGATTAAGATTTTAGATAAAAGCATATTCATCTTATAAAATTGAATATAGCTACAACCTTAAAAAAACCTTTTTCTGTTTCTCCAGTTAATAACCTCACAACCACTCAGATTTATTTTATGGCCCTTTGGAGTAGCCCTAGCTTTGTGTAGGAACTACTGGACTAACTGTCTATGGGCACAAATTTGTTCATTAATCAATTAGTCGATGAACAAATACATAATCACCATCAATTTTGATAACTGATTAACCAGTTGACATTTTTAAGTTAAAATGTCAACATTCCCCAGTTTCAGCTACAGACACTAAATGATTATTTGATTAAATGAGTAAATAAGCAGCAGATTAATCAATGGAATGTTAGTTGCAGCCATAATTAAAACTGGCACCACCTCAAGGAGCTATACACTACATTTTGCAGATTCAGTCACTTAAGTATTTTATTTAGGACTTTTACTTCTAATTGAGTAGTTTTACACTGGTTATTGGTGTTTTTATTTAAGCAAAGGACCTGAGTAATTCTTCCATTACTGACTTTAACTTAATAAAAAGGTTTTTAAATACTGTGATTGACACACCTTTCTTGATGTAGCCTAGAATTTTCATCAGTGTTACTTTGTGTTTCTGTAGTAGCCTCATGTAGATAAGCCTGCTCTGCATACTCAGCCTAATTTGCAGCAAACGCCAAACAGCATTACATCAAACTCTACTGAAATACAGTGGCGGCAAATCTTTCGGATCTATCAAATATTTCGCGCGAAAATGTATGGAAGTAGTCACGAGAGTCCATGACGTGTTTACTGAAACAGGCGGGCCTTAAAAAATAGTCGTTTTCTATTGGACGGCATGATCGGACGCCCGTTAATAGAAAGTCAAGCGATAAGTTTGATTGGACGACATGATTTGTGGTTTATTCAGCCCCGCCCCCATCAGCGCGCTTGGCTTTCCTTCGTTAGCAGCGGTGTGTCACCGAAACAGGGCTGCTACCGGATGGAATCGGTGTCTGGTTGACTACACAACCACTTAATCCAAACTGGCATCGCAGTGGGGCTGAGGGGGTGCCCCGAGTTTTTAACCATTTAGGTTGGATCCTGTGCCTCTCTCTGACACTACCGCCCGTCCTACTGATGTCGGATTTCAAGCTTGGAATCGTACGGCTCGGCCGTGTGGCCGGGAAGGTGAGTTGGATCCCAAAGCTGCCATGTGCGGCCGGGGGAGGGCCTGTGGATCACAAAAGGCGTTTTAAAAACACCTTTAGCAGTGATGAGTCACTGCTAGGCAACCGCTTCAATAGTTATCAAACCTTTACATATGTGGGAGAGGTTGAGCATTATTGATTTTAGTTGTATTTCAGCGGATTAGAAAAGCCGGCCGCGCCGAGCCAGACTGTCTTTCTGTACCTCCGCCGCCACCACAGTTTCTCGCTAGGAAGCTAAGGCTAACTAGCGTTTTAGCGGGTTACGTTAGCTGTTGGCCAGTGTTAAAAGGTAAACTAGTCCAGTAAATGTAAACACGTGGGTCTTTTTGTCAATACCAGTGTCGGGTGGAGCAGAAAAATAGAGGACGCATGGCTTTGCTATCACCGTCGGTGTTGTTAACGGTCGGTGGTTCGGTTAGCAATGCCACGCTAACTATATTATTTGGATTACACGGTGAAGTGTCTGCTAATGAGGAAGCCATTGCCATGCTCTATCAACTGATTCTTTGTGCAACATGACAAAGCACCGGCAAGACAGGACAATGCCCACAGCTGTCCCAAAGCTGCCATTATGATTTACATAATCATCGCCACACATAGCTGCGACGCTAAACTATGAATGCTGGCCGAGAGATTCTCCGTACTGTTGCTGGCACAAGACGCACACACTCGGCATGAGCTGTGTTGTTTGAGCTTTGGCGAATCAGCTGGCCACCTGCTGAGTGACGGAGCTCTTGGACTCCGGGCAGCAGTCACTCAAATAATTTACATGATGTCACTCTCATATTAAGATTGACACGTGATCTGGCCGTAGAGACAAAACTGTTTTGGTATATTGTCACATGTGCGGTGTTTGAGTCCCACCTGCAAACAGAGAACTGTGGAAGGTCGTAGATGGTCAAACTAGTCGGTTTAGTTAGCCAACTTGCTTGACAGTAGATTCAGCATTATTTTTTCCTCTTGTTAAGAAAATAAATGCCTTTTTATAGTAAATTTGTCTGTGATGTAGCTGTCATTTGTAGGGCAAACTTCTAAATAGGGGCTTGAACATGCCCTGAACTGCTTATCTGTGACTGTTGTGTCCTCTGTAAACATGCCACTTTTAATTTAAATGTACTAAATTTTGCAGCAGGAGAAGGTTAAATATTTGTCCCGTTGGTTGGTGACTAAACGCACACATTTCTGGATAGTGAATGCCTAATAACAGGAGGTGGTTCTGCAATAGATGACTATCCGCCTCTGGAAGAACTAGCGTTTGCCAACCACTGAGTGCAAACAATTTATTTTAATGTGATCACTAATTAAAGTTAATTTATGATTGTTTAAGCTTGTTGTGAATGCCCAAAGGTGATAGTTTCAAATTTAATGTTCTCAATTACAAGAAAACTAAAATAAGTCCTGTGTGGCTGACATTATGCTACCCCCGCTGTTACTGTGGATTTTTCATCCCCCTGGTTCCTGTTGATTTTTAACAAGTTGCTGCCTTGATAAACAGGGACCAAGAAGGTACCTACTCCTGTAAAGACTCGTGGTTGTTACAGTTTTGGGTTTTTAATGTGAAAATAACCATACTCCCTCCATTTTCTCATTTCAGACAAAATACACATTGATTGACGAGCAGGACATACCACTTGTGGAAAACTATGCGTTTGAGGTAAATTATTAGGATTTGGCTGCAAATTGCTTGTAATATTGCTGTTGCTACTATTCTGATAGTACCGGTATTGAAAACTTATTTTATGTCTAGGCCCGCATGGAGGTGGATGCCGATGGCAATGGAGCTAAGATCTTTGCCTATGCTTTTGACATTGGTAAAGGCCGCTGGGCAGGAAGACCATTGCATGAGCTGCTCTGGTAAATAATTTGTTCATCATATCAAGTGTGATGATTTCTTATTCTTTGTTGGAGCCAAGACTGTATTGGCAGGAGTCCTTATTGTGGAAGTGTACATGATGGGGCCTAGTGATCGTAATCACCCCAGAAGTTGATAATACATCTGGATAGAGAATAAGTGTTGGTTAAAACTGCAAGAGTAATGCTGTAAAGGTGACTTTGTAGCAGTCAGTAATACTTTAGACAAAGTAGAAATGCACCAGGTGCAACTCTAGCTTAACTCTAGATTTTGAGTTCTTACCAGTGCAGGCTGGTGCTTCCTGTACCCTCTAAGATAGCTGTCTTTTAGGTATCAGTAAAGACTGGCTTCAAAGCTCAGGTGGATGAGTGACCACAGTGCTGTGAAGGAAGCAACGAAGTAGCAAACACTGGTAGTCGTGCAGCCTCGCAGCCCAGCTACAATGATGAGTGATGTTAATGTCTTTACCCAGGGAGAAGCACAGAGGAGGCATTGCCCCCAGTTTTCAAGTCATCCACATCAACTCTGTGACAGTGGACAACCGACTAGACAACCTGCGACTGGTGCCGGTGGGCTGGAGCCCCAAGCCGGAGGAAATTTCCAGCAAACAGAGGTGAGACCACAGCTATACCAGTGCTTCAGTACCAAAGGCTGAACTGTACAAGCCTAAAGTTTTGCCGGTCTGCTTCACTGAGGACCCATCCTGGCCTGGGCCTAACAACAAAGTTTTTAAGGAAAACCCTGACAGATATGGGCCTGCGCCCAAAAATTGACCATTTTGTTTGCCTTTTTCTCCCCATATGCTGACATTTTGAAACAAATGCAAAGACTAATTAATAATGATAATTATATAATAAGATAATTAGATGTTAAGAACTGGTTTCTTTCCTCTTAGAGTAGTAGTAGAAGTAAATTTAGCAACAGGGACACAACACAGGGGGACAGAGTGGTGAAAGCTTGGCTCATTGTGTAATCATGTGACTTTTGTAAAAGTCCAGTATAACGTACATGGGACTAATATTTCCTTCCATATTCCCTTACTTGCCCAGAGAGCAGTCTCTGTATTGGTTGGCCATCCAGCAGGTGCCAGCTGACCCTGTGGAGGAGCAGTATCTAGAGCTGAGCCGCACACGCTACTACAACGCTAACGGGGAGCTGGTGGAGGAAGAGGAGTGCTCCTGCACCTACTACGAGTGTCATTATCCTCCTTGTTCACTCATTGAGAGGAGGGTATGTATTGTAACTTGAATGATTCATGAGGTCATCCACATGGACACTGGTTTCGGAACCTCGCTCACTTTTTGCATACATTTTGTAGTTTCATTTTCACAAGAATAAAATTGAAATTTTTGCCCCTCGGTATGCACTCAATAAAGCATAATGACAAAGTAGAAGCAGGTTTTTAGAAATTTTTGCAAGTTATTTATTCATGTATTCAGACTCTGTATTTTGTAGAAGCCCCTTAGGCAGCAGTTACAACTTTGAGTGTACCTGGGTAAGTTACAAGTGTTGCACACTTGGATTTGGGCAGTTTATCCCAGTGTTCCTGGTAGATCCCCTCTGTCAGCTGCATCGGATTGGATGGGAAGTGTCTGTGAACGGCCGTTTTCAGGTCTTTTCACAGGTGCTTTATAGGAGTTGAGTCTGGGCTTTGGTCACAGTAGGAGACTTGTCCTGAAGCTACTCCAGTATTCTCTTGGTTGTATGCTTGCTGTCATTGTCGTGCTGAAGTCTCAGGTGACGGTTGAAGGAAGGATGAATGCAGCTGAATACAGAAAAGTCGTTGAAGAAACCCTCCTCCAGTTTCCCTGTCCCTAGAGCTGAGACACACCCCCATTGAATGATGCTGCCACCCCCGTGCTTCACCACAGGGATGGTATCAGGCAGGTGATGATGAGCGGCGCCTGGTGTTCATGTAGCTCTTGGAGTTCTGCCCAAACAGATACATTTTTGTCCCCTCAAACCGGAATCTCTGTCCTCATGCTCTGACTCTTTTATATGCTGTTATGCTTATGCCTTTACTCAAGAGTGGCTTCCATCTTCTAAACATGTCATTGAGTGCAGTTTGATGGGCAAAAGTGGAAATTTTATCCATTTTAATCTTAAATATTCAACTCAAAGCATCTAAAAGTGAAATGGTCTAAATACGTTCTCAAGCCGCTGCAGATGCGTCTAGCAGCGTTGTTCTTGGCATCTGACAGACGGTCACATAGAACCAAAGATGATCTTGTTTTATCTGACTTTCCACAGCTGCGGGAGTTCAACATCTGTGGTCGCTGCCAGGTGGCCCGCTACTGTGGCTCCCAGTGCCAGCAGAGGGACTGGCCCGCCCACAAGAAGCAGTGTCGTGAGCGCAAGCGAGTGCTGGCCCTAGAGTCGGAGCCTGAGCGGTGATCTGCCCTCATCCTTCCCTGGAAGAGGATGAGGGAGAGTGGTGGGACAGGGTTTGACTTGTGGGAGGGGAGCGGGAAAGAAATGCAAACTGGGACTAACTGCTGACAACAGACTAACAACAGAGGACAATGTTGCTGTTTGACAAATTTCAGTGGGGGAAATGAGAAAGACAAATAAAGCAAAAAGACATCTGCCATTTTCCAGAACTGGTAAATCTCCATAGCTTTCTTTTCATCTGGATGACAGGAAGGTAGTTTGTGTGTTTTTTGTTTTTTTTTTTTGGTTACTTTTCTTGAGGAGGGAGACCCTCAGGTTCTACCTGCTGCTATGGGTTTTCTTTTTTCTTTTTTTTTTTTTTTAATGGGGTGGGGGTGGGAATTGTCCTGTTGATGAACTGGACAAGTTTCTTTGGACCACAGTCTAATACGGACAGTTGTCACCCACTTCTGTTCCTCCAACCTGCTGCTGGGCATGGTGACGTCTGTGCAGACTGGGGACCCGGGGGCTACAGTACCTGTCGTTCTGCTGGTACAATGGGACATGGACCTTCTCACTGTATCGCTCCCTTTCTAACCTCTCTGGTGCACACAGCTGCCGTCTTCATGGTCGCAGACACCTTAGCCGCCTCCCCATCTGTCGTACCTCCCACGCAGCCAACCTCGACGCGCATCACATAGACTTCACTGATTGAATCACACTACCAGTATTGAGTGTGAGTGCGTGTGTATGCTTGTGTGTACGTGCTACCAATATGTACTGAAGGACATTGAATCAGTCAACATGGGTTTAGGGACCGGGTTAATGTACAGTATGTCTTCTCTTCTTAAAGGGTCCATATTACACATTATTTAAATTTAATTTTTAATCAAATTGGTGAGTTAAAATATTTCACTGCTCACTATTGTTCACTATAATATAGTAGCTGCCAAATGAAGGCTTTTTTTTTTTTTTTTAAAGATTGGTTTGATCAAGCTTGTTTTGTTTGAATCAACTTGAGTAACTGGACTAGAAAATGTAGGTCCTGTGGTCAATTGGCACTTGGGTAAATTCTTTTTATTTATTTTTTTTCCATCACAGAAAATTGTTCCATTGATAACTGAGTAAGAAAATGTTTTCTTGTGCCCACAGTAGTTGTCATGTTCAAAGCAAAATATCTGTCCTGTGATTACAGGGAAATGAAATGAAATGGAAGAAATCGTAACCAAAGTCTACTCTTTTGTGGTTCGACACTTCTTTTATCAACTTGTTTAAATCCCTTCCACTTAGTCTTACTTTACCAGTTATTAACACAGGCTTCTCTCCACCTTTTTTTTTTTTTTTAACATCTACAGCATTACGGTGTGTGTGTGTTGAGGTGAGGAGTCCAGACCCTTAATAAGCATGTAATTCACATCACATATGTACATGCAATTTGTTGATCGTTGTGTGTGTGTGTGTGTGTGTGTGTGTGTGTGTGTGAGAGAGAGAGAAAGAACAGGTTTTCAACACTGCACTAAAAATGTCTCCCATGTTAACGTATTTGTCCTAGATGGGTGGAAGGCAGGGGTGTGATTTGGGCAGAGTGTACAGATTGTCTGAAATCTTTTGTTTTGTAAAAATATAAGTATTAATCGTTTAGGAATAAAGAGCTACAATATGTCAGTGGAAGTACAGATGGGGATGACTGAGTTGCTTTTCCAATGTAAAATTATAATAAATTAAATGAACCTTATTTGTTGGAGTCAAACGTGAATACCAATGAATGTATTAGTCATATTATCAAAAATAATTTAATATTCCAATCAAGGATGTTTTTCTGTTTATATGGCTGAGGTAGAAAGGTGCTACAGTAGCTTTCTATAAGTACATTTACTATAAGCATTTGTAAGCAAGCATTGCTGTAGGTCAGTCTCAGCAGAAATTTCAGCATGTCATTGCAAGAAAAGCACCTATAATCAATAACTGATACCACCAAAAATGGTGCTTCCTTTTATGTTGGGCTGGTTACAAGGTGCTGGTATTGTGCGTGCATGTTCCCTGTTGTGGCTCGCTGGGACCTTTTGATGAGATGAGCCAGTTGATGACAAAATGGAGATGTCTGCACCTCAAAGATCTATTTTGGCTTGTAGGTAACAATTTAGTCACAGATAGAAGACCAGTGCTGCTCAATTGTAGTAAGTCAGTTAAATAATCTATTTATGAAGAGGTATAGTTATTTATTGCGTTTACATACAGCTTAGTGAAGTGTTGCCAGTGTATTTTGACTGAGTATCCCTGGCCCTGGACATTTCACATATTGATTTAAATATAGTAAATGTTTTATAGATTCACCCAAGAAAATCGACCCATAAATGTTAAGTCCTTCATTTAAATGATTTGTCGATCAAGAAGGAATTGGTCAACTCCAGTTTTATTATTTTAGTCACTTGTCATGCAGAAATGTCAAACATTCGATGATTCCATGTTACTTAAATTCGAAGACTGTCTTTCTCCGATTTATGTCATTGGGAATTAAATGTGGTTATGTTTTGACCTTTTGGTAAGTAAAGTAAGCAATCTGATGTTACATTTTGGGATTGTGGGAAATTTTTGTTACAGTTTCCTTAGATTCTATGAACATGGCAAGTAGTCCACATAATCCTCTGTCAGAATGTCCACTGGTGTAATGGAACCCTATCATCTTTAGTGCTTATACTTTCCTGAAGTACTTTTGTGGTTAAAAACAAAGTTGTGTGATATCTGCTGTAGGAAACAGGATATTTGAATGTGATTTAAGTAGGAGATCAACAGGCTGCTCGGTCAGATCCTTTCCACCATCACTGCTTTGCTGTGATTTTGATGGTGAGTTCTGTGTTATTCATGTTGCCGTTAAAACTAAAGCACCATCACTGTAATGGACTGGTGAGTCTCTGCTCTCGGGTTTGGTATTATTTTTATCTCTAAAATTGGTCCACCCTTTCTTGTTTCTCCTGTGTAACAAATAACAGATGTTCTGCTGTGGAGGTCTGGTAACTCTATCCTCTGTGTTGTTATGTGCCTCAGTGGTGGTTGGATTCTCTCCATCTGCCTCCTCCGCTTTTTGCTGCACATCTCCAGTCTGCAGCACAGCCCTTTGCAACTGCTGTTGGAGGCCTGAGGTCTCCAAGTGGCACAAACACAAAGACAAGTTACTGATTACATTGTTAGTTCATCTCTTAACTTCACCCTAAACTTAAAGTTGTTGTAACAGTTATGAATTGACTAATTTATGCTTTTTAAATTCTGCCCACAAATTTTCTATTGGATTTCGGTCAGAGCTTTGTGATGACCACTCCTTGACTTTGCTGTCCTTAAGCCATTTTGCCGCCACTCTGGAAGTATGCATGGGGTCATTGTCCATTTGGAAGACCCATTTGCGACTAAGCTTCAACTTCCTGATTGATGTCTTGAGATGTTGCTTCAATATATCCTCACAATCTGCCTTCTTCATAATGCCATCTATTTTGTGAAGTGCCCCAGTCCGTCCTGCAGCAAAGCAACCCCATGACATGATGCTGCCACCCCCTTGCTTCATGGTTGGAATCGTGATCTTCACTTTGCAAGCCTCAAAGAAGTACTGAGTTTGAAGATAGGCCTGAAAATACTGGTGCACCTCCTATTGACTCAAATGATGTCAGTTATCACCAATTGGTCACTATATCACCAATTGTGATATAGTGAATTATAAGTGAAATAATTATCTGTAAACAACAATTGGAAAAATGACTTGTGCCATATGTAAAGTACATGTCTTGACTGGCCAGAATGAGAGTTTGTTAACATGACACATGTGGAGTGGTTAAAAATTCAGCTTTAACAACTTCAACCTAAGTTTATGTAAATATCTGACTTCAACTGTATATAGATTAATTATTTTCATGATTGGAAGACAGAGAAGTTTCAAACATACCAGTACTTAGTCTTATTAGAATTCTTGATGAAGCACGGTCCTCCGGGCCTTCTGACAGCTTTAATGGTCAAAAGTAAAACTGGTAGGCAAGATAAAAGACAAAAAGCAAGCAGAAAACATATTTCTTTGAGCATTTTTGGACGTTTGCTAAGATAATAACAAGCACTTGAAAAGGCAAGTTTTCAGTAATAAGCTCACTGATAAAATGAGACCAGTATGCTACACCACCGCATTATTTATTTATTTCTTCTAATCCTGATTCACTGACTTGATACATTTTCACCTATAAAAATGACTTAAAAATATCTGTATGAAGGAAAAAACAGGAGGTCCCAGGGCACCGACATTGCAACCTATAATAAGTAGACATTGATTTGTTTTAGGAGTGACCAGACAAAAAACGTTGTGGACCACTCATTAAGGCATCTGAAGTATCTAACCTACTGTCCTGACCGGGTTACACAAACACAGGGTGTACATGTTCATAGACATCATGCTTTCTCCTTTTTGGATTTGTCTTCTACTATATACATTAGGTATGGTGTTGGCCATTACCTTGAATTTTAAAATGTCATTATCTGTGCATTAACATTATTATGGTATCATTTTGTCTATTTTGACTTTCATGATTTAATTATTTTTTGTTTTGTCATAAATTGAAAAATTTTAGTTGCTTGTATTCAGATATATTTAGTTTTTAAATATTTTTACGAATTCGTGTATTATTTTTTGTGTTTTGTTTTCTGTGCAAATAAACTCTTTTGTTAGCGAAAGGCTGCATTACCACCTCCTCTCCATGAGGTGTCGCCAGTGCTTTAAACTGACTACTGTTCATTAGTGTTTATTGGTTTACAACACGGAAGTTTTACAACAACAGAGTAATGTGTAAGTTAAACACTCAACCCGAAGCTTATGCTGGTTTTCATCTAAGATTTTTGTCTCTAGTTTCCTAACAGCAGACTAAATGGTGAATCTCGGTCTCACCAGAGTGGACGATGCACTAGCAGCAAAACATCCGGTGGGTTTTTGTGTTTACATTTTCTACAGTCTGCTGATCTCTGGAGGACACTGAAAGTCAAATGAATGAACTTATGCACTCTTTGTCACCTTTGTAATGTACTGGAAAATAACATACACTGTTTATCAGGAGCAACCAAGCTGTTTTTGTTGTCTTATTTTGTCTTTCAGGGTTTAGAGAGTTATGGTGCCTGTCAGTCTAAAGCCTTCATGAAGGGGACTCTGAGCTTTGTTCTGGGTAATTTTTTAGCTAGTATCCACTGTTCACTGCCAACAACAGTGTATTTACACTGTATTGTCATTTTATTATTGTAGCCTATCATTAGCACTGAAGCATCAGACATTTAAAATAGTACTTTAC